ATAAAATGGGTCGCTGGGAAAACTGGCTAGCCATAAGTAGGAAGCGAAATTGATCCCTTCCTTACTCCTTGTCATACAAAAATTAATTCAAGATGGATATAGAGACTTAAATGTCTAGACTAAAGACATAAAAACCCTAGGGATAAGAAAACCAGGCAATACCATTCAGCGATATAGGCATGGGCAAGGGACTTCATGTCTAAGAAACACCAAAAGGCAATGGCAACAAAAGCCAAAGTTGATAAATGGGAATCTAATTAAACTAAAGAGCTTCTGCCCAGCAAAGAACACGTACCATTCAGAAGTGAATCAGGCCAACCTACAGCAATGGGAGAAAATTTTTGCCAACTCTACTCATCGACAAAGGACTAATTTCCAGAACCTGTACAAAGAACTCAAAACACAATTTACAGAAGAAAAAAAACAAACAACCCCATCAAAAAGTGGGCAAGGATATGAACAGACACTTTCTCAAAGAAGACATTTTTGCACAGACAACAGAACCATGGAAAATGCTCACATCATTCACCATCAGAGAAATGCCAATCAAAAGACCACAATGGATACAATCTCACACCGAGTTAGAAGTTGCTAAGTCGATTAAAAAGTCAAGAAACAACAGTCTGGAGGAGGATGTGGAGAAATAGGACTTATCTTTCTACACTATTGGTAGACACTGTGTAAACTATTCAACCATGTTGGAAAAACGTGTGGCAATTCCTCCACAGGATCTAGAGATACTAGAAATACCAGTTGACCCGGCAGTTTATCCCATACTGGGTATTATATCCAGACGTATGGATACATCGATGCTGACTATAAAGTGAGCACATGTTACACGTATGTTTAGTTGTGGCGACTATTCACAAAGCAAAGACTTGGAATCAACCCAAATGTCCACCAATGACAGACTGGATTAAGAAAATGTGGGCACATATACCACCATGGAAATCGTATGCAGCATAAAAAAAGGATGAGCTTCGTTGTGTCCTTTGTGAGGGACAGTGGATGCAGCAGAACACATTCTCAGCAAGTGATCACAAGGAACATAGAAACCAAATATTGAATGTTCTCACTCATAGGTGGCGTATTGAACAATGAGAACTCACTTGGACACCGGAAGAGAACATACACACCGGGGCCCTATTGTGGGTGGGGAGGGAGGTAAGGCGGATAGCACTTAGGAGCAGTGATACCTAATGTGTAAATGATGACGTCTAATGGGTACAGCACACCAACATCAGCACATGTATACATATGTAACAAACCTGCACGTTGTGCACATGTACCCTAGATCATAAAGTATAATATAAAAAAAAAATTGGTGGTCAGTCCCTCCCAACACCTCCGTCACTGTAAAGCTGGCAGCACCCCACCAAGGTTGGCCTTCCCAGGCACTGCACCTCTAGGTGATGGAGCGTATCCTTACCCTGAGGTCTGGGTGCCCAGTCTATCCTGTCCAATGAGCGAGCTGTGGAGAAGGGGGGATTCCAGGTTAAGGGGAGACTAGTGGGGCTCCTTCTTTTATGTTGCCCTGTTGCGAAGGCTGTTAAAGAAACACAAAGTGCTAAGCAGTGAAGATAGAACATGTTTTCATTATTTAAACCAATACATTCCACAGAAGGAATAATAAGAAATGCTACATCCAAGCTAACTGGATCCATCAGCATATCAAAAAGATAATCCACCACGATCAAGTGGGTTCCATACCAGGGATGCAAGGATGGTTTAATATATACAAGTCAATAAATGTGATATATCACATAAATAAAATTAAAAACAAAAATCATATGATAATCTGAATAGATGCAGAAAAAGCATTGACAAAATCTAGCATTTCTTTATGATTAAAACCTTTCAGCAAAATCAGCATAGAAGGGACATAGCTTAAGGTAATAAAAGTCATCTATGACAAACCCACAGCCAACATTATCCTGAATGGGGAAAAGTTGAAACCATCCCCCCTGAGGACTGGAACAAGACAAAGATACCATGTTCACCACTTTTACTCAACACAGTGCTGTCCACTACAGCACTGATTATGAGAGCAAGACTAGAAACAGAATGAATGGATACCCAGAGGGGGGTGCTTAAGTAATTTTGGGAATAGTCATAGGGTGCAAGTACTTTATAGCTCTGAAAAAATACAATGGATTTACATTTGAAAAGTGGAATAACTAAGGTGCATTGCCCAGTGATATATGCAGAGGTGCAGAGGACTTTGTATAAGCACAATCACGCATCAGCATGCATGCCAGGTGCATGTTTCTATTTGCACATAGATTGTAGGGATGATATGCAAATGAAAATGTTGACTTGGTGTTTGGAAGTTCGGAGTGGAAGGGAAACTTCCTTGCTAACCTTTTATGATATTTAGAGTTATTTCTAACCGTGAATATGTAATACATTTAGAAATCTTGGTTAATAATAAAAGCCAGCCGGGCGCGGTGGCTCAAGCCTGTAATCCCAGCACTTTGGGAGGCCGAGACGGGTGGATCACGAGGTCAGGAGATCGAGACCATGCTGGCTAACATGGTGAAACCCCGTCTCTACTAAAAAATAACAAAAAACTAGCCGGGCGATGTGGCGGATGCCTGTAGTCCCAGCTACTCGGGAGGCTGAGGCAGGAGAATGGTGTGAACCCGGGAGGCGGAGCCTGCAGTGAGCTGAGATCCGGCCACTGCACTCCAGCCTGGGTGACAGAGCAAGACTCCGTCTCAAAAAAAAAAAAAAAAAAAAGAAAAGCCTCTGTTCCTGGCCTCCTGCTGGTACATGTCAGGTGGACATGGGTGGTCATGCTAATGTGTGCAAACTAAGAAAAATCCAAGAATGGGATTCTGCATTTTTCATCATGCAAATAATTATTAATAGAAAGAGTATGAGGGTTATCGCTCATTGATATACCATGCATATTCTATTAGATAATAATAAATTCTGACATTTGAACTATATTTACACATGGAAATTGAAATATATGGATGAAATATCATGGCTTATACAGGCAATGGCTTTATTGGCATTTTACAAACTGATCATCGTTCCTCATGGCATGGGTCCGTGTGATATTAAGCAGCTTATGTTTGGGAAAGGCAGTGATGACCACAAGAATGACTTCAACTACTAAAGTACAGTGGAGATTTCAATAATGTTTTGTTTGATATTCAAATATTTCATTGTGCTCCCAGGTTTTTTCTCACCCTAATAGCTCTTACCCATATCATGTGGGTCTCATTAATACAGACACCTCCAAACGTACCACTTTTCCATTATATGCAGTCACTTGCTGGTTACCTTGGGCCTACAACTGGGGGAGGGCAGGGGCTGCTTGCCACCTCTTGATCTACAATAAGAGTCAATGAGCAGTTAAGTGGATACTGAAAACCATATATCCTGCTGGAGTGAGAAAAATATGGTTTCTTTCAATAGGGTAGTAAAATGCACCTTTTCCAACCTAATTATATGACTCAAGGCCCATCTCAATTCCAGATGCGGATTCTCACAAAGGTGTGTAATTCCTGATTCTCACCAAGGTGTGTAATGTTGTCCAAGGCCCAGTGCAGAGGAACACAGGTGTTGCCATCAGACTGCCAGGGTCCGATCCCGCCTCCTCACTCACCCTGGGAGATCCTTTTAAGCCAGGAGTCAACAGCGAGGATGGAAACATGACTGTTTTTTAAAGTCCTAAAAGTTCAGAGGACGACCATCAATTTCTCCTGCACCCCTGGGCACACACCAGGAGAACTTTGTCTCCAGGTTCAAGTAAGTGCCTATGAGGGAGTTGTGCCCTCAGATTCTGTTCACCACAGGTGCCACTTGATGCAACCTCAGACCTCTTTTGCACAATCCCAAGCAGTGCTGACTAGTCCAACCCAAAGGCTGTGATGTTTGGCAGAGGCAGAGGCAGAAAAGGCCAGGTGTTTTGGGAAAGATCACCTTTAAATCACACAGCACCGTCACAGCCCAGAGAGACAGTTCTTACATTATGGCAACAAACTTGGAAAATACCAAATCCAATTTGACACATATTTCCTTTTTCTTTTTGATTTCATGTCCCCTCCCTCAACCTCCCAAGCAGATGGATACACTGAAGGCCCCTGGGAACTCTCTCCCATTGGATCTTACATGGAAAGTAGTTACCTACCTACAAATCCTCATCACTGGATATGCTCTCCAAAAACAGATCTTTAAAACACAAACATCAGAATAAGTCATTAGAGAGAGGCCCACCCACTCCTCTGACCCCAGCTGAAGCTCTGGTGCTTCACGTAGGATCCCCTGGTGTTTCCTCTGGGCTCACAGATATCCCTCCAGCCTCTCTGGACATTGTTTTATACTTGCAAAATCATTTGCTCTCATCAGAGCAATGATTTGGGAATCCTCCTTCCCAAAAGGAGCCCAGAATCAGGTTTCTGTACCCTAGAGACAGCATTTTTCCCTCAGGAAATGAGTTATTTCAGGGTACGTACCATTCTCCAGTACAAATGGATCCTGCAATTATAGAAAAGAAAACATTAGGAGGGTGAAATGATGCCATGCATGTCACACAGATCTGATATTCTCTCAACAACTGGAGAAAATAAGAAGGGGTATAGCGATTGAGTCAAAGGTCGAAGTCCCCCAAAACTAACATGGAGGACACCTATGGAAAAGAAAAGAGCTTTTCCCACAGAATTTACCTTTAAAGTATATTTAGATTGGCAGTTTCACAACCTTAATCCACGGGGGAAAACTGCTGTGGAGGGAAACACCTCTGCATTGCAGTGGATCGTGGACGCTGCCATCTACCACGCCCCAGTGTGCCCGGCATGGGTTGGTGAGAGGCTGCCAATCAATAGCACCACACCAAGGGAATTGCAGATGTCATAAATAATGCGCATTGACAGATGTTCATGTCTACCTTTGATTAAATTGCAGATGACATCGATAATGCACATTGGCAGATGTTCATGTCTACATCTGACTCAAAAGAAGCCAGGAAAGTAACATTTCTGTTCAAGACAAAGAAAAGTATCTTACAGTGGCAGCATCTTCTTTTTTAGAGATGTCTTGTAGAGCATCCTCTTTAGCGATGTCGTATACAGCGTCCTCATTAGCGATGTCGTATACAGCGTCCTCATTAGCGATGTCGTATACAGCGTTCTCATTAGAGATGTCTTCTACAGCATCCTCATTAGAGATGTCTTGTACAGTGTCCTCATTAGCAATGTCGTATACAGCGTCCTCATTAGCAGTATCTTCTACAGCATCCTCATTAGCGATGTCATATACGGCATCCTCGTTAGCGATGTCATATACAGCGTTCTCATTAGCGATGTCGTATACAGTGTCCTCATTAGCGATCTCGTATACAGTGTCCTCATTAGCGATCTCGTATACAGTGTCCTCATTGGCGATGTCTTCTACAGCATCCTCATTGGAGATGTCTTGTACAGTGTCCTCATTACAGATGTCATATTCAGCATCCTCAATAGAGATGTCTTGCACAGCATCCCCACAGGGAGCTAGGAGAACACAGAGTAAAGGTCGGTGCCCTGGTGGTGGAGACTGAATCACCCAGGGAGCTTGCTTGGTGTGGTGCATGGAGGTGGCTGATCACAGCATGGGCTGAGCTGATGCTGGGCCATCCTCCCGGGTGGTCCTGCACTAGTGAAGCTAAAGGATGTGGCTCAGAACACTTCTGCAGTGGGAATCAGTTTCCAGGTTCAGATATGCATTATCCAGAGAAGCGGGGAAATATTTAAAAAAATAGAAATTGACAAATTCATGAAAAGCCTTCCATGAGTGCAAGTGTGATTTTTTGTTAACCACTTTACATTCAGTATGCATTCACACGTACAAAATATTTTTACAAGAAATCAGAAATTTTAATTTTTGTCAGTTATATTAAATCTAACTTAGCTGTTAACATAAAGATTCTATCTCATTTACTCTGTGGTCTCCAGAAAATTTAGCACATAGTAAGTAGACCAAAATATTTATTAAATGAAAACACAGAGCAGGGGTGGGGGGCTGGTAGGCAGATTGGGTTGCACCTGATTACCTGGATGATAATAAACTGCACAAAACCTTGGTCAGATTAATACTGAAACTGCCTTTTGCTTGGGCTCTTTTACCTTGAGGAAGAAGGATGACCAAGAAGATGAACAGGAAAGAAAAGAGAAACAGAGGCCTTTGCTTAGTAGCTAAAGGCCACCTTCTGTAACACGAAATAGTCTACAAGTGGCCTTGAACTCTGCTGTGGTTCAGTGACAGAGTTCCCTCATTTCTTCTACCCAGGTTGAAGTCCAGCGACATTGCGACTGTCTTCTTTACAACTTGCAAGTCATGCTGCTTCTGCATTTGCCTGTTGTATGAGATTTACACTTGTTTTAAAGCCACATTTTGTTTCAGTTGGGCTGGTGGCCATACACTGCACTAGCCAGTCAATAGTGAGATGGCTCCTCATGGAGGAGGCTTGGCTTGAGGCTGAGGGTCTTTTACCCACATGCACAAGAGAGTTGCCATGAGGGGACAGAAGCCAGGCTAATAACCAAGTGCTGCACAGAGTTCCCATCTGTCCCTCCTCACCATTTTCAGCTGGCAGGATTTGAGCATTTTAGGGCTTGGGAAGATAATATTACTAAATCTACTAAAATACATCACCCTTCCTTATGGGCTTTGTCCAGTTGCTGAGCAAATTAACTTCAATACTGAAGTGGGCCGCACTGGCCTGCGTGGGCCCCCACTCCTCTCAGAATTTGTGAGCTTGGGGCCTACTGGAGGGTGGGAGGTGGGAGGAGGGGGAGGATCAGGAAAAATAACTGATATTAGACTCGATATATGGGTGATGAAATAATCTGTACAACAAACTCTCATGACACACATTTATATATGTAGCAAACCTGCACATCCTGCACATGTAACCCTGAATTTAAAATAAAAGCCAAAAAAAAAAAAAAAAAAAAAGGATCTGTGAGCTGACCCAAACCCCCAGAGATCTCTGTGCTTTTGACACACTGATGACTACGCTGGCCCGTGGGGAGATGTGCCTAGAACCACCCTGGGTTGTGTGACCACGGAGGTCACTTTATGATGATGGGCTGTGTCTGGGGCCTTTTGGGCTCGGTGCTTTAGGGCTTATACATGAATGCTGGACTCCCTGCATGGTGGTGAACACCCCATGACTAAATGCATGTCAGCGTCAGCACAGGCCCACACTCCTGGGTTCATGTTTTCAATTTTTCATTCAGGAACTTGGGAGCTGGGGCCACCCCCTTGGCCCTTCAGGATCTCCACCTGAGCAGTGGGGATAATAAGCCAGACCCAGGGATGGCTCTGGTGAGGGTGGAGGAGTCACTGTACAGAGACAGTGGGCGGGGGGTGGATTTTATTTTTAGAAGTGGACACCTGCGATTGGGTTGTATAAATGGGAAATCTTTCCTGAGGAAACACACAGCCTCATCTGTACAGAAACGCACACACTCACACCACATGATGCAGCCTCACATGAGACACCACGAATCCTCAAGCACCCAAGTCAGCACCACCCAAAAGGGAGCACAGCTGCTTCCTCAAAAATTGGCCATAATATTTCCCTGGGGAATTCAGGTTTTTAAAAACACTTCCACTATGCTTATTCCTATTGCAATCCCAGGATCAGGGTGGCTCTTCACACTGAAACCTGCAAGGATGCCACACATTTCTTGGCATCCAGATTTTTTTTTGGCAAATAGTTCCAGAATACTTACTAGAGTCACAACTCAGAGGGGCCGCCTGCACCACCTGCAATACAGAAACAAAGCTTTATGAAGGGTACGTCGTGTTGTGGATTGTTTCGCACAAGACTCTGTTTCTCTCAGTGAATATTGAAAACTTGATCAGAAAGTGTAGTCAACTTCAAGCCCCCCCAAACAAGGGTAGGATACACACTGGAAAAGACATCAGCTTCTGGATGGTGGATCTCTCAGATCCACGTTGGTTGGCAAGTGCAAAATACTGAATCCAAGGAGAAGACATTGCTTCCAAGGACAAGGGCCCCAAGGATACAGTGTACAACCTGCAGCTGTCATAGGTATATGCCATTTTGGATTACATATCAGTTGCTAAGAGTCACTTCTTCCACCCCCTCAGAAAACTGCATTTAATACCTGTAATGTACATTGTCATTTTTTCACATGTAAAGTCAGTTGAAAAAGAAAGATGCCAAGAAAGGAACATTTCTATTTCAGAGAAAGCAAGGCAACCTTACCCTTGTGTTGACTGGCCTCTCTCCATCTCCTCTGTCCTTGTGAATTAGAGACTCCTCAGAGGCTAGGAGGACACAGAGCAACAGTTAGTCATAGATGCTTTTGTTCATGAGTTATTCAGGGAGCTCTGCTTAATGTGGACAACAGGACAGTGTGTGTGGATGTGTTTCATTAAAAGCACAGCTTGAGCTCCTGCTAAAAATCTTCCCTTGTGGAAAGACAGGCAAGAACGAGGAGCTGAGGAGCAAGAAATGGAGTCCCTGGCATTTTGCTGATGGCAACTTAAGGCAATGGGAATGAGTCAGTCTACAAATGGTATTGAAGCACACGCTATAGTTTAATGAGAGTCCCACTGCTCACACTGTGAGGTTTGAAACCCAGTTAAATGGTTTTCTAAACCCCGTAAAACAATATTAGCTTGTAGGATTTATGTCCCAAGACCATTTTTGTGGAATCCTCTGAGGATCCACAGTGGCTGTCACTGCAGTTATTATGTGTTTTAGCATTTTGCACTTGAATAAAAGCAAAGCTTAATAGACAGACAGGATTCAATTCTAGGCAAAACAGTCTACTGTATTTAGTCACTAATCCTTTGTTATAATTGCCTACGGGAGAATCACAAACACAGAAATTATATCCTTTAAAATTAATTAAAGCATAATTATTAATCATACAATATTTTTTCATCCAAGCCTCCTTTTCTTTGTCATGCATGCATATTAATTGAGGCTGGAGACTATCTATGCTTGTTCAGGCCAGCCAACATAGGACAGTTTACTTCAAGAGAGGAGACATGGGTTGAATGCTGGTATGTTTTAACTGCAGCACAAACAGTTGCAACAAGTGTGGTGAACAAATCACCAGATGGCCCTTTGCTGCCTTATTTGTCATTGTGCCTTACGTGGAGCTTGCAGGATTTGATTATGCCTTTGTTTTGTTGTGATAATACTTTCAACTATTTCCAAAATATTGCTTCAGTCTTATCTGTTTGAGGTCAACTGCTGAGAATTTCATACAAACTAATGAAGTTTATGAATCTAAAGTTCTACACAAAGGGGGAAATATTTGCAAATCATTTATCTGGTAAGAGACTAAAATGTAGAATATATTTTAAACCTTCCAAAAATCTACAACAGCAAGCTAACAAAATAAAAATCAGACAACTCTTCAAAAATGGGTAAAAGACTTGAATATATATTTCCCTAAAGAAGATACACCCATGGATAGTAGCACAGGAAAAGCTGCTTAGGACCATTAGTCATTAGAGAAATGCAAATGAAAAACACAAGTAGACACCAATATACACCTACTAGAATGATTTAAAGGAAAATAAGTGTGAACAAGGATGTAAAGAAATTGCAACCCTGATACATTGCTGGTAGAAATGGATAAAATTGCAGCCACTGTGAAAAACAGTGGTTAAATACAGAACTCTTGTTAGACCCAGGAACTCTACTCTTAAGTATATACCCCAAAGAATAGAAAACAGAAATCAAAGAGATATTTGTATATAATGTTTGTAGTATCACTTTTCACAGGAGCCAAAAGATGGAAAAGTCCAACCATCAATGAACAAATGAATGTAATAAAAGCAAGATGGTCTACATGCAGTGGTACATCATCCATCTGTAAAAAAGGAACACAATTTTGATAGATGATACAATGTGGGTGGACATTGAGAACATTATGCTTAGTGAAATAAGCCAGACACAAAAGGAATATAGTGTATAACTGTACTTATATGAAGTGCCTAGAATAATCAAATTCATACAAGAGAAAGCAGGATAGGAATCACCGTGGGCTGGAAATAGGGGGAAGGTGCTATATTGCTTACTGTGGACAAGGTTTTGTAAGAAATTATCGAAATTGCGGGTGTAGATAGTGGTGTTGGTTATGCAACACTGTGAATATTTTGAATGCCACTGCGTGCACACTTTGGTTAAAAGGTTAAAATGATAAATATTGTGTTATATATATTTCCCCACAATAGAAAACACGCACAGCCAAGCCCAGATACTAGTCTTGCTAGCAGCCTTCCTTTACCTTCAAGAGCGGGCTGAGGCTTGTCTATAATCTCATGATCCATTGGACGTTCAAAGTCATCTGCATTGGAAGACAAACTAATGGAGAGAGGAGAAAACTTGAGAATCCACACTACTCACTCCACAGGGCCAAGAACTCTGTCTCCCGTGCATTGCTGATCCATCTCAGTATTTCCTGTGACCACCTCCTTTTTCAGCTGAAGGCTCTGCACCTGAAGGACTTCCCAGGTTTTTCACCTTGGCCTTGTCAGGACTGCTCCTGTCAGCTACTGTCCATTTCACCTCCATTCATGTCCATGCCACATCAGGCTGTGTTGTTCAAATGGAATGAATCTACCCCAAATGTCCCTTTCTGGAGGAAGCCACCATTATGCTCTACCTCCAACACGTCCACACACACTGAGGCACCTCACTCACACAAGGTGTGTGTCCTCCAACAGTTTCATGTTGTAACCCCAGATAACTTTTGAAACCCAAGTCTTGTTGATTCCCCCTACCTCGGGTGCTCCATAGATGTTCATTTGTCTACAAAACACTGCCCCAAGCAATTAAATATTCCAAAGTGACCAGCAGAATTTGTATGTTAATTCTGACATTGTGTTGTTAGTACAAGTGTTTTTCCCCTTCAAATGTATGTCTTTGTTACTGATAATGCTTTTTTCAGCTATGTTGCCAAGCACATTTATATAAAAATATACTTAGATTGTTTTGAGAATTTGACAAAGATGATAGCAACAATGATAATCTCATTTGTTTTATGCTAATTTTTATGTGTTACTTTCATCATTTCTTACATATTGGGGCCTACCACACATTGTGCAGTGAAATTAGTGCTATGCATCATAGTAGGAATATAAATTGGCAAAGCTAATTTAGAAAATAGCTCTCTTGTTTCTTAAAAAAATTAGGCCAGGCACAGTGGCTCATACCTAAAATCTCAGCACTTTGGGAGGCAGAGGTGGGTGGATCACCAGAGGGTAGGAGTTTGAGACTAGCCTGACCAACACAGCAAAACCCTGTCTCTACTGAAAATACAAAAATTATCCGGATGTGGTGGCATGTGCTGATTGTCCCAGCTATTCGGGAGATTGAGGCATGAGAATTGCTTAAACCAGGGAGGCAGAGGTTCCAGTGAGCCGAGATTGTGCCTCTGCACTCCAGCCTGGATCTCAAAAACTATACATATATATTGACCAAAATGTCATTATGCATTACATGACTGTATATGAATGCTCAAAGCTACATTACTCATCATAGAAAAAAACAAAAATAATTAAATGTCCATTAACTGAAAAATGAATAAACACTATCTGTATGAATAAACACATCAGACTATGAAGGAAAACAGATGACCAGCATGTGCTAAAGCATCAATTAACTTCAAACATAGTATGCTAAATCAAAGAAGTCAGATTCCAAATATATATATATATTAAACAAGCAGAAAATTTATGGAGATGGAATATCATAGCAGTATTGCTTAGGGCTGGAGATGGGAGTGGGGATTGACTGCTAGTGGGAAAGAGAATTTGGGTGAGGGAAACATTTTTAAATTAGATCATGGTGATGGGTGCACACAGTATCATTTTAATAAAGCATCAAATTGTATACCTTTACAGTGGGCAAACTTTATGATGGGTTCACACCCAATATAGGTGCTAAAAATAAATTACTGTTATGGAAATTCTTGTCTGGTTTTTATCAAGTCAAGAGATATGCTGTTAAAGCAGTATTAATTAAAATGGTTGTCACAGGTCACTTAAAGTTTATGAGATAGTTGTCCTATAAATACATGGTAAATGTTATCCATGAATTTCCTGAATCTATTGCAATAATCACATTTTTTCTCCATTAACCTCTTGAGGTAGCTAATTTTATTTATTGCATTTTCATCATTAATCCACCATTTCACATTTTGAGATTAACTCACATTAGTCAGAATTTACAGTATTTTAAAATATCACAGAATTTAATTTACCTTATCTGGTTTTGGTTTCAAGACTATACCAGCCATTTCATTTAATTGTATGTGTAGGGTATTCTAATTTATGGAAAACTATTACATCTTCCTTGATTTTTTTTTTTTAGAAAGTACTTCTAGGGATTTATATGGTAGAGTCCGTGGAGAATTGTTTTAATTCTTCATTCATATCTTCAGTGGGTATAAGATTGGTCATATTGGTCATATTTTTCTGCTCAGATTTCAATAAGAAACTTGTGGAAGAACCTGAAGGGTGGGATCTTTAGAGGGAGCCTGAGACAGAGCAAGACAAGCTAAGAAAGAGGGCAGTGCCACAGCAGAGCTGCTATTGATGTCCCCTCGCCTAGATTCCAGAAGAGACATCCAGCTGTAGTCACTGAGGTATAGGAAAACAGTGGAGCACCCATCAGAGAAAGCAGGGCCCAGGAACAAGGAGGCACTGATGGTGGTAAGGGGAAAAGACAGCTGCCATGAGGCTGTTCACATGAGGGTCTCGGGCTGCACAGACACCCACACCAGCTGAGGGGTCCTGGTTTTCATACAGGGTGTGGTCCAGCCAGGCCACCAACAAGCAGTTAACAAACAGTAGTAATACGACACTTTCCAAAGACCTTACTTGAGTAACACGGTGAGCCTCACAAATTTCCACAGGATGGTCGCACAGTTCCTCCTGCTTTAGGACACAGAGTCTGCCTGAGGTCACAGGGGGTAGGTGCAGACTCTGAAGATGCATTTCGGTCAGAGACTCTGCTGAACTCTGTCTACTGAGGGCCTCTGTCCTGTCTGCTGACCACAGGTCAGAGGTGCAGGCTGCACTGGGGAGTAAGAATGTCACCTTCTCAATTTTGGGAAAACTCTCTGCCAGAACTGAGAACGGTCCTTTCTAAGCAGAAGGCAAGCTCAGACTAAAGAAGGAGGCCGACCACATCAGGCTGGCAGATTGCCAAAGATTCACTCAGGGAGAGCCCACATCCTGGGCCATCTTGGGAGGTGGCAAGATGAGATAGACCACCGCTTTTGCAACACATACCTGACAACAAAAAATCAACAACTGTAAAAGAGCCAGAAAATCCCCAAATATTTACAAATTAGCAATGCACCTTTAAATAACTCATGGGTTAAAGAAGTCTCAATAGAAAATTAAAAATACCTTTAACTACATTAAATGAAAATGTGACTTGACAAGATTTCTGGGTGTAGCAAAAGCAGTCCTTAGAGGGAAATTTATAGCATTGGATGCAATATATTAAAAATCACAAGATCTAAAATCAGTAATATCATGTTTCAATTAGGAAACTGTAGAAAATAAAGGAATGCAATGTAAAGCAAGTAGAAGAAGTAAGAGACAACATCACAGAAGTCAATAAAATTAAAACACTGAAATCATCAGAAAATCAATAAAAACAAAAGCTGGTTCTTTGAGATGCTCATTACAATGAATGAACTTCTATGCAGGCTAACCAAGAAAAAGAAGATAACACAAATGACCAATTTCAGAAATGAAACAGGAGCCATCTCCACTGAACTGTTGGGCATTAAAAGGATAATCAAGGAATATTATAAACAATTCTATGACCACAGTTTGATAACCTCAGTGCAATGTCTCAAGTCCTTGAAAGACAATCTTCCCAAGGTCACACTAGAATCCTAGATAATTTGAATAAACTTATGTCTATTAAATAAGTTGAATTCACATTAAGAGCATTCTGAAAAAGAAAACACCAGACCCAGATGGTTTCTAAAGAAATCTACCAAATTCTTCAACAGGTGAATACAAAGACAAAAATCCATTTAATGCAATATTATTTGGTGATTTAATGTGCCAATTTATACCATTAAGACATAAAAAAGACATGAAGGAAACAAATATACATCAATTTAGTGAAATAAATTCATCTGAAAAAGCTACATAATATATGATTCCAACTATATGACATTCTGGAAAAGGCAAAACTGAAGCAACAGTAAAAATATTAATAATTGCCAAGGTTTCTGGAGAAAGAGGACAGAGATTAATGAGAAGAGGGGATTTTTAGGGAGGTGAACATATTCTTTATGAGACCATAATAGTGAACACATGTTATACATATTTCCAACTTCATATAAATGTGTAACAGAAAGAACATTATGCAAATGATAGATTTCAGATAATAATGTGTCCATATTTTATCATGATTTTAGCAAATGTACCACATAATGTAAGATGTTAGTAATAGGTAAAATTAGGAAGTGAGGGCAAGAAGACAGAATAATATGGGAACTTTATTATGTGCCCTTTTTTTTTTTGAGATGGACTTTCACTCTTGTTGCCCAGGCTGGAGTGCAATGGTGTGATCTTGGCTCGCTGCAACCTCCACTTCCCAGGTTCAAGTGATTCTCCTGCCTCAGCCTCCTGAGTAGCTGAGATTACAGGCACCGCCATCACACAGGGCCAATTTTTTGTATTTTTAGTAGAGATGGGGTTTCACCATGTTGGCCAGGCTGGTCTCCAACTCCCAACCTCAGGTGATCCACCCACCTTGGCCTCCTAAAATGCTGGAATTATAATCATGAGCCACCACGCCTGGCCATATGCTCAATTTTTATGTCAATTAATTTATATGTATTTAATTTATATTAATTTAAAAATAATAATATAGCACCACTCTTTCAGGGAGATCTATGCTAATGTTTAACAACCAGGTAAGTTCTAGACACTAGCTTGAAACATTGTCTATCATTAAACATGAACAAAAATTGACTTTTAAGTGGATATTTACTTTTGCGGTTGTAGTAACACTTACTGATTATGTAAATTAGAATTCTGACACATTAAAAAATGTGGCTTAATCTCTTCATAGTTTCCTTTTACATATGGGACACTGAATACTCCCCACAATTGCGATTCTTGAATCAACTTAATGAACTTCCACAGTACCTTCTACAGGGTATACCTCCTTCTTTACCCAGAAGCCATGAGGTCTCTGAAGCTGAGTGGTGGACACGGCTTATCTTCTTATAATTTCTATCAGAGAAGATGCTGGTTAATGCATTTACAATAGAGAGGGCTGTTGACATCTTGCTGACAGAAGACCAGAGGGAAAACAGTTATAAACTGTTTTAAGTTTAAACTTATGATCCTGTTCTTTTTTTTTTTTTTTTTTTTTGAGACGGAGTCTCGCTCTGTCACCCAGGCTG